AAAAAAAAAAAGAAAATAATATCCATGGATTTCTTCCATTGAGTCCTCCTTAGATTGAATCTCTTCCAGTTTTCCACGTGGAGAGAGTCAGTATTTGAGGTACCAATGGTGTAGAGTGACTTGGAGAGAGATTCAGAAGCCAGAGGCAGGGAGGAGGACAGTTGGGACCAGACTGACTACCCTGTACCCTTCCCTCTTTCCCAATATGCCCGCACCATCTTAATGTGTTGAAGTTAAAACCCATGATCAACACCACTGAAGTAGATTGACAGGTTTTTGACCTACCAAGCTTTGAGCAGGACACTATTCTGAATTATTTTTCTTAAATTATTTTTTTTTACATCCCATTCTTGTTAAAGATCTTATGTTGAGTTTTATCAAATAAAAAGCATGAGAGGTCATGACCAGTAAAGTCTTTGGGTGATTTTTTCCCCCCTCTCCATGGAGTTAGAAACCAATCAACTCAATTCAGTCTTTAGCATTTATTGAGCACCTACTACATGCCAGGCCCTGTACCTGAGACTTGGAATTTGTTATCTCATAACAATGAAAGTAAATATAGCATGACAATTAAGGGCTCAGGACAAGAGGCCTCAGTTCAAATCCGAGTGCTGCCCATTTTTAGCTGGGTGAACTTGGACAAGTTTCTTTATCCCTCTTTGCCTCATTTTCCTCAACTATAAAATGGGGATAATAATAAGTATGTTACTGCATAAATCAATACAGTGCTCGGCACAAGAGCTCTTATCATTTTAGAGGTCAGGAACTGACCTACTCAAGATCAAGCAGCAGTATAAAAGTAACAGCCACTATTTATTAAGTGCCTATAATGCTCCTTACACACATTTTCTCCTTCACTCTTTGTCCTCCTTTTATAGATGCAGTAAAGAAACTTGCCTCTGGTTGGGGAAGCTTTCATAAGGAGACAACATTGCAGCAGACTCCTGAGCCCACGTGGGATGGGAGGCTAAGGCTAAGGCTAAGGGAGGGGGGCATGATGAGGCCTCTTGGGGGAGATGGAGCAGAGCAAAGGAGGGTAGGGAAGCCATGCCGGGTGCAGAAAAGAGCAGGAACAGATCCTGGGAGGCCTGTCACGTTCAGTGGCACCTCTAGGCACAGGGAGAATGACNACTTGCCTCTGGTTGGGGAAGCTTTCATAAGGAGACAACATTGCAGCAGACTCCTGAGCCCGCGTGGGATGGGAGGCTAAGGCTAAGGGAGGGGGGCATGATGAGGCCTCTTGGGGGAGATGGAGCAGAGCAAAGGAGGGTAGGGAAGCCATGCTGGGTGCAGAAAAGAAAAGGAACAGATCCTGGGAGGCCTGTCACGTTCAGTGGCACCTCTAGGCACAGGGAGAATGACAGCCAGGAATGTGGGATGTTAGGAAGGCAAAGGGAAAGGAGAGAGGTCAAGATGGGGAGGAGGGAAGGCTTACCCAGAGGAGTCTCGTGCTGATCTTGAAGTTTATGCTGACATCTTACAATGTAGTCCCTGGACCAGCTGCCTTAGAATTACCCAGGGAGCTTATTAACATTGGCTTCCTGGTCCCCACCTCAGACCCACTGAATCCCAATCTGTGGCAATGAGGCCTAGGGGTCTGCTTTTTAAATAAGCCTCTCTCCGACTTCCTGCCTCTAAAGTTTGGGAACTGCTGAGTTAATGCTTGCTCACCTGAGAGTCCTCTCCCTGAGCCCAGAGACGCTTCCCTCTGTACCTGTTGTGTCCTTTTCTCCCTTCCATGAAGGCTGTGCTTATCCCCATCTCCTCTATCTTGCTTTTTGAGCCGTCTTCCTGATCTGGGAAAGATCAGGAATTCAGAGACTGGACAGAGAACAATGTGTGGTGTGATTCAGTGGTTAAGGGCACAGGCTTTGATGTCAGACAGACCTGGAATTGAATCCCAGTTCTGCCATTTATCAGCTGTGTGACCTGTGAAAAATCACCTAACCTCTCTGTGCTTAGTTTCTTTATCTATTAAGTGGGGTTGTCAGTATCTAAACCATAGAGTGTTTTTGTGAGGATTTAATGAAGTAGTGATTGTGAAGTGCTTCACACAGTAAAATGTCATCTGTTACTATTTGAGAGCCTTGAGCCAATTACAGAAGGACAGGCTCAAATGTCACCTTCTCAGAGGCCTTTCCAGACTAGAACAAATGTTGACAAACTTTTAAACAGCTTTATTGAGATATAATTTACATGCTATAAAATTCACCCAGTTAACGTGCACAATTTAATGGCTTTTAGTATATTCACAGAGTTGTGTAGCCATCACCACAATCAATATTAGAACACTGTCATCACTCCAGAAAGAAACACTGCACCCTTTAGCCATCATCCCCTAGCCCTAGGCAACCAATAATCTACTTTCTGTCTCTATAGAGTTGCCTATTCTGGATATTTCATATAAATGAAATCATGCAATAGGTGGGCCTATGCAGCTGGCTTCTTTCTCAGCGTAATGTTTTCATGGTTCATCTGTATTGTAGCATGTATCAGTATGACACTTCTTTTTATTGCCAGATAATATTCCATTGTATGGCTATACCAGATTTTATTTTTCCCTTCATCAGTTGATGGACATTTTTGGGTTATTTCCATTTTTTGGCTATTGTGAATAATACCATGAACATTTTTGTGCAAGTTTTTGTGTAGATATAAGTTTTCATTTCTCTTGGGTATATACCTAGGAGTGGAATAGCTGGGTCATGTGCTAACTCTGCCAGATTGTTTTCCGAAGTTTGTTTTAGCATTTTGCAATCTAATTAGCAGTGAGTTCCAAAGTGTTCCAATTGTCCACATCCTTACAGGCACTTCTTATTGTCTTTCTTTTTTTTTTTTTTAAAAAGATGA